AAAGCATTCATATCTAAAGAAAAATGAGTTCAACTCAATATATTATTGTTTGGCTTATGGTCTTTTGTAGAATAACTACAGAATTATTCTTGAGCCTGTATTTAAGTTTAAATTCTCTGTCAGATGAATTATCTAGATGTTCAACTTTACATTGTATATCATATTTCTCTAGAACATAATATCCTACCTCCCTAAGTCTTTGAATATTAAAGTTTGCTCATTTAAATTTTTCACTAAGCATAAAAATATGAATTAAACAAATAGAATTTGAAATTCCTTGTGTAGATGCTACTTTTATAAAAATAAAAATGAGTCAATGAACATTTCTAAGTTATTTTGTCTCCTTTAGATAGCTTATTGAGAGATTGATCTTTGGTTTCTGCTTTAATTCACATAGCAAGCAAAGGGTTATATCTATGTATATAAAATTTTCAATATGGTTAATTACTACAATTGAAGCTTCTTGTGGTCCCCTAATGAATTCTTGGCCTATGGTGGAGAAATGACTCTTTCAAAGGACCATCATTTGTTACACCTGAGCCTTCCTGGTCTCAACTGTACCACATGCTGCTTAATAATTTGCAATGATTTAGGAAGATTGCCACAACCACTCAATTACTTAAACAAGGGTTCTGTATGTAATCTATATAGAAGGAAATACATCCTCAGCCCACATTTAGAACTGTCTTGTTAATTAAATGGAGTTTAGAAACAACTGTGCTCTGAGCAACTTGTACACAGTAGACAGTACTGGGAGACGGAAAGCAGTCACCCATTTTCCCTAGCCCATCAAGCAGCTGTATCATTTACCATTCATTGGAATGCAGCAGCTATGAGAAGGACACATCACTTAGGAAATCAGATTTCCCATTCTGGTTCTCTAATCTTTGGGCATTGCCTGAGTTTTATGTTCTTCTTCCTAGGAAACTGCTATTGCTAATTTCTTAGGCATGCTCCAATCAGTGGTAGACATTTATACAACCTACAGTAAAGGTAGAAAAAATATTTTGTGAAATGTTGCCAGAATAGTTATTCAAAAATATCAATGACTAATTTCCATGCAGCCACCTGAAGCAATATAATGAAAAATCAGTCAAATAACCTAAAAGAGGAAAGCTCATTTAAAATTATAATTGTCAAAAAAAATTAATTGCTTCTGTGCTAGTGATACAGAAGTGGGAGGCAATGTGCTTTAACTAACCACACTTATAGCCAAATTCAACCTATCTGTGGGGAAAAGAGACACACGGCCATATGTCTAGGTAATAACATTTGAGGGACACAAGTAATGTGAGTTTTGAAGAGAGATTTTTACTGAATTCACAACTATAGCTTGGACTAGTCTTATGACACTATGGAATGAAAAATGTTCTTTATGAATAATATTTAGACTATTGACAGCAAGCAGAATATGTAGAACAATATAAAATACTTTATATAAGTATATATAGTTGACAAAATGTGAATAATTAGAACATGTAGATTTATATAATACTAACTTCTGGATTTTTACTGCATCTCTTCAGTAATAATCTACTTGTGAAATTCAATGTTTTAAATATTACCAATGACTTCTATTTAATTAAGCGAGCACTACACAGATTATGAGATCTAGAACAATGTAACTGTATTATGTTTTATTTTAAATACCTAATTTAGTACAACAGAAAATTTGCATGTCCAGTGTGAAGTTCACACATTTTGGAATTGGCAAGTTTAAATTTGCTCTCAAATTATTTCTTACTGATATGGGATAAAGTATTCAGAGTTTGTAAGATGACTTTTGCCATGTGTGAGAATATGTATAACAATATGATCCAGGGCCTTTTCAATGTGTAACAAAGTGAATCACTTACTTGGTTAAGGTATCTATGCTAATTAATTTAAATGAATTAGTATTCCAATGTCTCTATGCATTCCACACCAACTAGGAAGTCCTTTGCCATTTGACCAGGAATAGGAAAAAAGAAGGAGAAAAGGGAGGACAAGAATGCCACTTTGTAGCTTTGCAAAATATGAAAAGCGTGTGTCCTCACTTTAAAAGCAAAAACACTACTTAAATAAAATAATGCTGGTACTTTGGGCTATTTCTTTATAATGTACAAAACAGAAAAGATTCTTTTATTTGAGCATGACTGATATTCACTATTATAGCTGGATGCATATTTTTCTAGGCTCTTCTGTGCCTAAAAAGAGAACATATTTCTCCCAAAGAATGGGATTATGCTTGTAAAAAAATTTACCATCTGAATTTATTACCCAGTTAAATGAATTTAAGAACTTTCTGCCAACTAAAAGTGCATTTCATATGTTAATGTTTGAATAGCATCAAATTATATGGAGATATCATAGTATAATCAGTTTCCAATTTATATTATCCTCTTTATGAGAGTGAAATATTGAAAATTGTACTTGTGTTCCCTCTTCATACGTACTGTGCATCTGTCTGGTTGTTTCCTCAAGATAAATTAGACAAGACACTTCTTTGTATTGGGGCTTTCGATATGTGGTACCAAAGCCATTGTTTTACTTACCTATTGCTCCTTTAAAAAAAAAACTCCAAAGTTAGTGACTTGAAATAAGAGTAATTAATCATCTCTTGACATCTATAGTTTCTGTTGGTGAGAAATCTATACACAGAGTGATTATTGATTTGCTCCATGCTATCTGAATCTCATCTAGAAAATTAGAAGTCATGGTGCTGGGATCACTTTAAGATCTCAGGATGCTGTTAGTCGCCATCAACTAGAGACTACCTTCTGTGGGAATTGATGGCAATGTCCAGCCCAGGCACCAGTGGCTCCCATTCATATTTCTAGCTTTTTAAGAGGTTGAAAATGGGAATGAGTCATCCTAAATTACTACTACAGGAAGCTGAGATTGGGAGGATGAATCGTAACATGCGGCCAGCTGGGTTAGAATGGTCTTTGAGACTACATTCCAAAGACAGGAGCATGGTGGTGCACACCTATGATCCTAGGGATGAGGAGAAGGCAGAAGTAAGGCAGATCATGACTGAAGGGTTCAGTCAGGCAAGAACCAAAATAAAGAGTGAAAAACCAGAGGTAACTCACCATCTTGGCAAGTATGAGGTACTGAATTCAAACACCAGTGCCAGCGTAAATAAATGAATAACATAATAAACAAATACCATACCATCTGTACCTTCTATCTAGTGGGAAATGCTACTGTTACATATTTAACTGCACTTAAACTTGAAACCTTTTCTGAACTTTTTCTCAGTGAATAAGCTTGCCAATGAGCCAAGTGTCTTCTCTAACATTTCTACCTTTCTTGCAGAAGGGAGTATTTTTCGTGGAAATGTGTGGTGCATTTTCAAATAGTTTCATTATTATGTAATTATGGCTTGAAAAACTAGAAGATCAAAATAGTCTTGAAGAAGATAGTAAGCAAGACTAAGAGACTTTCCTTCCTTCCTTCTTTCCTTCCTTCCTTCCTTCTTTCCTTCTTCCATCCTTCCTTCCTTCCTCTCTCCTCTCTCCATCCCTCTCCCCTTCTCTTTCTCCCTAACCTCTTTCTCTTTCCTTCTTTCTCTATTCTTTGTTTCCTTATTCGTTCTGTGCTGGTCCTAGGTAAGACTTGAACTAGGGCCTGGGAGCTGTCACTGACCATTTATGCTATAAACTGATGCTTTACCACTTGAGCCATAGCTCCGCTTTTCAGTGGCAAATTGGAGATAAGATTCTCACAGTTTCCTGGATTCATATCCTCAGATCTCAGCATCCTGAGTAGATAGGATGAAACCTGAGTAGATTGGACGAAAGGCAGGAGCCACCAGTTTGAAATTTACTGCCACAAATTTGACTTTTATAATTAGAAATTTTAAGTATTTTTTCAAAGCATGTATATGTATGCATATATAGAGAGAGAAACAGTGAGAGAGAGAAAGAGAATCATAATTATGTCTTTAAATAATGTAACAACAAGCTCAGTGCCAGTGATTCATGATTATAATCTTAGCAACTAAGGAGTCTGAGATCTGAAGATAGCAGTTTGAAGCCAGCCCCTGAAAAGTCTGTAAGACTTTTATCTCCTCTTGATCACCAGAAAGCCAGAAGTAGGTCTGTGGCTCAAGTGGTGGAGATCTAGTCTTGAGCAAAAATGCTAAAGGACAGCACCTAAGCCCTGAGTTCAAGTCCAAGGATGAGTGCATACACACACACACACATACACACACAGATAAGAGAAAAAAATGTAACAACAAGGCTTGTGGCATACACACACACACATACACACACAGATAAGAGAAAAAAATGTAGCAACAAGGCTTGTGGAGTAATTCAAGTGGCAAAATATCAGCCAAATAAGCAAGCTGAGCAAGCTTGAGGCCTTTACTTTAAGACCTAGCCCTGCAATAAAAGCTAAAAAAATTCAAATCAATCGCTTAAAAGTGTAGCATCAGCACAAATAATGTATTCTGAAATTTTAGCATTGGTTTTCTCCACATATTGTTACTTGGGATTTTAATTCCTTTTATTTTTGTGTTGCATTTATAATTTTATATGATGAGTATCAATGATCTTTAGAATTAAAAAATAAGTATTTTGCTATATTAATTATGTACTGGATAACAGAGACTTCTGTTGTCTTCTGTATTCTAAATATCTTGCCTTTGTCTGCGAGTGACTTTCGTTTACATTGATTACAAGAAGCTTTAAAAGTGATACTCCTAAACTTCTTGCAATGCTTTCCACACTAAAACTTTAGTGAAATTAAAAACATTAACTCAATAGCACACTTGTGCTGATACCAGTGTCATAATTAATGACTTAGAACCTCAACTCATCAAGTAGCAATCATTTAAAAAAATTTATGTTGACACTTCATTTCATGAATTAAATACTTTGAACAGTTCTTTAAATTCAGAACAACAAAACATTATGGAAACAATTTTTCAATGAGTCACACTTAGAAAATTTTGTGCTTACATAAAAGGAGTACAAATATTGAACTTTATCATTCTGCCTTTTATTTTTTTTAAGCAAATGAAGCACATTTATCTGAAAGGGAAAAGAAAGTATCAAAGGAAAGTAGGAAGACTCTATGCATAGAGGGGCCCCAAAGAGGAACCCAATGGAGTCCTCCTGGACTGTGGTTTTTGTAGTACAGGAGTCCTCCATATTTCCTCCCTTGGGCATGGCACTGATTACTTGATGGTTTGTTCATGCACTGCTCTGACTTTTTTCATTGGTTGAGTGGACGTCAGAGCATTTTGGGAAGAAGCATTTGAGCAGGATCCTGAGTCATTGTGGAAACTAGAAGTGCCACCATGATGGGCCATGTGTTATATCTTCCACAAGTATGTCTACATCTTTCATCCCTATATAACTAACAGTTCTTTTTTCCTTCCCTCATGCCTCTCTCTCAGATGGAAAGCCTACCTGCCATTAGGTAACGAAGGCAGTGGTTGCTCTGAGTTAGCTCCTGCTGAGATAGTGCAAATTCAAAATGACAATCTAGGATCCTCCAGGAATGGCCTTGTAGGTGGGCAGGACATGGTCCCTGCACTGTTTCAGTAGAACACAGTATCTTCATAGGATGATTTATATGAAGCTCCTTTTTGAATGGCCTTTTATAGCATGATGGACATCAATCTAGAAGAAACAAACGAAAAACAAGTTGAGAATGCAGGGGTCAAACACCAGCAGAATTATTATACCAGACAAGGACACCAGAATCAATTCTGTTAAACTTACAAATTTGTATTTCCTCATGTTAAGGCCTGGAGAGACTTTTCAATCAATATTAAACAATGTAGTTGCAAAGTACTACTTGAATACAGAGACCTAAATTAATGACTAAAACTGAAAAGATTGCATTCTTTTCTTTAAATTGCAAAGTACAACTGGAGTTTAACATATGAATGTCTTAAAATTTTATTTGTATTCTTTTACTATTTCTTCTGAGAAATAGCCTATCTTTAAGGAACAAAAATCAGCTTTATATACATAGACCCTGTATTTATGGGTCTCAAATTAATAACGAGCTTATACAACATCAGATGGCAAGGTCATTAAGAATAAAGACCTTATTATTATTATTATTTTTACTTTATGTCTGACCACAAAAAGAGATGTAAAGTTCAATTATAGCCAGAAGAATTCTCCAGCCCTAATTTACTGGCTAAGTTTGTTTTTCCAGCCATACCACATGCCACACAGCTGTGAACTACTTAGAGGTTTACTGGACACTTTGGTTTAGGAAGGTTTTCTTTCTTATTTTGATTTTCCGCCTCAGATCACTTTAGGAACAATTTAATGTGACTCTATTAGGTATTTTCTGAGCCATTGCTACTTCTAAGTAGTTCTGATGTCTTTGAGGCAGGCATCCTTCAAAATTGTTTTTCCTGAGACTTTGGTTTGATTCACTTAAGATAATAAACATTTAAATAAATACAAATGTTGTGAATTATTATTTTGTCCAACAAAGGCCTAGCTGAATATTGGGGCTAAAGCAAAGATTGAGGCACACAGGTGGCTGTTTTCATGGGGAGTACATTCTAGTGGGAGACACCTAAAAATAATAAATAACCAAATAATTGAGAGGACATTCATGAAGGAAATGATGTCCAAGTAAGAATATCTTACTTTAAGAGACATTTTCAGGTCTTTTTTCCCAAGGTTGCTAGAGGAGCACAACTCACATTGAGATGTAGAAAATGTCTATCTTTTAAAAGTAAAAAGAAAGGATGGAGGAAAAAAAAAGAAAAGACAAAGCAGGACAAAGAAACAGGCCTGACGTAATAAAGCAGCCAATCAGAAATTATCAGAGCAAAAAGTGTCTAGAACAATTGTGCTCACCCAGTGGGTATTGTATTCTAAGCTGACACCACTAGTAGGAAAGGCTGTAGGCATGAGAATGGGAGGTGAACTCAGCCATTCACAGCAACTATGCCCTTATAGATGGAATGATTGGCACTGAGGACTTGGGAGATGCTCCTAAGTCATGTAGAGAGATTTAGGCTGGAATTAAAGGTTAGTTCCTCATTTATTTCATGTATAGACCTGCTTTCAGCTAGGTTACTTGTGATGTGGGCACATACATGATTCCTAAGAATCAAGTGATTATGTGATTATCATTCACTAAATTTACAAGGTCACAAATGCATGTCCCCAACTCAAATTAGCCTAGCCTGCTTCATTTTGTAAAGGACTTCATTCTGTTTAGCAGGAAAACAGTTTAACTTTGTTTTCCATGAACTGTTCTTCAGAACTCAATCAGAACCCTACCTGTATCACTGTTTTTGACAACATATTGCTAGAAAGGATTGTACAAGCTGACAGTCACCTTAACATAAACACCCAGACTGAACAGCAAGACATATTCAAGGGTTCAGAACACCCTGAAAATTTCTAGAAAGACTGGTTCATGGAGCCTCTTTTAATGGGGTTGTATAGAAACACACACTTGGTTCTTATTTCCCAGGAACTGAAACATCCCAAAAATTTAAAAAAGTAATGAAGTTTCTGCCCAAACTAGAGACAAAGAAAATTGAAAGCTAGGATGATTAACTCCTTAGTTATTTGGAAGCTATTCTAGAGAAGATTAAAAGCTACTGTGGTGTGGTCTCTACTTAAGTCCTAGAGTATATAATTTTAGCGATCATCTGGGAGCAGCTAGGGAAGGAATAATTATGGAATACTGACAGAGCAGAGGCCAAATTCTCAAAGTACATGTGTAAAATCTAATAAGAAACTTCCGTTGATGAAGAAAAGAGCTTGGAAATAAAAATAAAAAGGAGAGTAAGAGCATGTAAGTAAATATAGAAATTTAACTGAACTCTTCTCACCCTTTTATTTTGCTTTCCCCACTAGATCTTTCCTTCCTAACCAAGAGACCATCAGCAATGAACCCTTCCCAAAAAGGTTTCTGAGTGAAGTCAAGAAACTGTGCAGAAGTTATCAAGAAACATTTTCGTTGCTGTTGTTGGTTGTGGGACTTGAACTCAGGGCCTGGGCGCTGTCAGTGAGCCTCTTTGTGCTCAAGGCTAGCACTCTACCATTTTAGCCTCAGTGCCACTTTCAGTTTTTGAGTAGTTTATTGGAGACAAGAGTCTCACAGCATTTTTCTTCCTGGGCTGGCTTCAAACCACAGTCCTCAGATCACAGCCTCCTGAGTACCTAGGATTATAGGTGTGAGCCACCAGAGCCTGGCTTCAAAAAACTCTTTGAAACTAATTGCTTCTGCTGACAGGGGTTGAAAGTTAATTAAGAAAATAGTTACAGAGCATGATTTTGCACACCTATAATCTCAGCTACTTGAGAGGCAGAGGAAGGAGGATTATGAGCCTAAGGACAACCTAAGGAAAAGTGGCAAGACCCTATCTCAAAAACCACAATGCAAAAAAATGTACCTTTTGGGGTTATAAATCCAGGGGTAGACATTTTGTCTAGCATACAGAAGGCCACTGGTTCAACTCCCAGTACTGCAGGAAGGAAGGAAGGAACAGAAAGAGGCAGGGAGGGGGAGAGAGAAGGGAGAGGGAAGTTAGTTTAGCAAAAATAGGCAAACTGAGAAACTCTCAAAGGAAGCAACAGATCAGACACTGCAGAAAGGGAGAAAATATTTCAGACTACACATCTGACAAGGGTTTAATATTCCAGAACACGTGAAATAAATAATTCAATAACAAGGAGGTGATCATAGTTTTCAGATGAACAAAAGAATTTAATAAGTGGACATTTCTTTTAACAAGACATACAAATGGCCAATAGATATATAGAAAATGTTTAGCATCACTAATCATCAAGGGACTACAAATCATTACTACAATGATTGGCTCTTTCCAAAAAGACAAAAATAATGTGCTAGTGAGGATATATATATATATATATAAAAGGAAATTTATCACTCTTGGTGAAAACTTAAATTAGTACAATCATTTTGGAAAATAGTATGGAACTCCTTAAAAATTAAAAGTAGAAATAGCACAAGATTAATTAAACCCTCTCCTGGGCATGTGCTAACATATGCAATCAGTTAGATATCAGCACTCTTATCTCTGTTTCAACACTATTCTTAAGATCCAAGACATGGAAACACCCTAAATGCTCAACACATACATTGATAAAGAAAATACACTAAAGCTAAACAATGAAATATTATTCTACCATAAAAAAGAATGAAATGCTCTCATTTGATATAACATGTACATACCTTATGGCTATTATGTTAACTGAAATGAGCCAGACACAGAAACACATTGACTCTTGGATTTCACTCACTCATATGTTAAAAATAAAAATGATGAACTTACAGAAGTGTACAACCAAACAGAGGTTTCCAGAGGCTGACAGAGAGGGGAGCTAGAGAAAGAATGATTAAAGAATAAGCAGAAACGGTCAGATAAGTTGATGTTAGGCGAAATGGACCCCAAGATAAGGACTCAAATGTTTTTTTCTTTCTTGTAATTGTTTCTAACATATTTATAAGATAATTTCTTTGTTGCTTTGTATGTCCCTCCCCCACGGTATAACCCCTGTTTTACTGTATTTGATGTTGGTATAATTTGTGGAGGAGAAGGGATACAGGTTGACCCATTGCAACAATGAGATGTACAAGACGTTATGTCAAAAAACGATCTTTACAATCTTGGCCATGGGGGTGATGGGTGGGAAGCGGGGGGCAGATGGGAAGGGAGGGGAAGGAGAAATAAAGGAGGAGGCAACAATGCTTGATAAGAAATGTACTCATTACCTTGCTCATGTAATTGTAACCCCTCTGTATGGTATTTTCACAATAAATAAAAAGAATTTGAAGTTACAGCTTTAGAAAAGGAGTAAGGTATAATGTTATATTGAACAGAAGAGTGTCTAAAGATAATGATAAGGTTTATATATTTCAAAATAGAAGGAAGATTTTCAAATGTTCTCACCATAGAGGAGTGGACACACAAGGTAATGGAGAAACTAACTTACCTGAATTTATTAACATATATATGCATTAAACATTATATCATACCCCATAAATGTGTCCAGTTCAAAAGAGTCCAAAAACCTCATCAGATATTTAAAGTAAGAAGAAAATATTTGCATTGTACTGAGGATGTTAAAAGAGAGATATGAAGCCAGGTGATGGCTCATACCCATAATCCTAAATACTCAGGAAGCTGAGATCTGAGGATCTCAGTTCAAAGCCAGCCTGTGCAGGATAGTCCATGAGTCTCTTGGCTCAATTAACCACAGAATTACTAGAAATAGAGCTGGGGTTCAAGTGGTAGAGCACTAGCCTTGAACAAAAAGAGCTAGGGACAGTACCTAAGCCCTGAGTTCAAGCACTAGTACTAGTTACAAAGAGAAAGAAAGAAGGGGGCAAAGATATTAAGAGATAACAGTAGCAATTATCATACAATTACTCTTAATTTACTATAGACCCTAAAACAGCTACCATCTCTCAAGTATGTCTTTATAATAAATGGTACATAAATGTATAACTGAGAGATGGTAGCTACCTTTAGATCCTCTTAAAAGTTAGAACGAGAGAAAGAAAAAGTAACGTAACACTTGGAGCTCAGAACTTCATATTACATGTGTAGGAACAACCTTTCCTGGAGTATCCTAGGTTTCTGGTTTCTCTTGGCCATTGTTTCCTTCCT